GCAGAGCGGGGACAACCAAGATGGGTCTGGAGCAGAAGTGTTTGACATCTGTCCCCAGCAGCACTCCTGCAACTCCGCACCGGAGACACTTGGGCAGCCAGGTGCACAGGAGACTCCTAAGCAGGTTGTCTGCAGGTGAGCATGACCCCAGCTGGTCAGAACCCTGGATTGCTGTGAGCAGTGGGGCTGTTGCTGCAGGTGCTCAGTGAGGGAGTGTGTGAGCCAACTTGGGATGCGGAGCCCTGGAGTGTCCCAGCTTGCACTGGGGGAACTTGGCTTCCCACCCGGGGCCAGGGAAAATGCTCCGTGAGCAGAGTGTTTTAAATCAAATGAACGTCCTGGACGCGGCACACAAGATGAGTCAAAGGTCCTCCAGCTCTGAGCCTTGGCACACAGGCTTCCTAGGGCACAGCTGAGTGGAAGTGCAGGAGGGGGCCCCTGTATCCCCAGGCACTGTCCCCCACGGTGGCGCCTCTCCATGTGTGGAGGGCCAGAGGGCTTGAGGCAGACACCTGTGTGGTTTCCAGGTTGGGGTTGTAGGAACAAGTCCTCCACGACCCACAGGCACTATTCTTCACATGCACCCAGGCTGCCCTTTCTCTGGGCCTGATGCCCAGGCTCTCACCACAGGCCAAGGACAGGCAGCCATGACGGTAGACCACAGACACACCTAGGTGCCCTGAAAAGCTCACGATAGACAATGCGGGCATGTTTTTGCTTTGATCGTAGGTTCCTAGAGAGGCTTTAGTCCTCCGGGTGAACTGGCCGTTGGATCAGTGTCACACGCCTCTGTCTGCCCTGCCACAGGACCTGAGGCGCCTTCGTCTAACTCTGGCTCTGCACCCTGCTCTTCCAGTGGGCCTCTCTCTCCATCCTTTTACTTCCGTCCTATGCTTTGTGGGCTCTGGTCCTAGTAGAATGTGGTTGAGACTCAGTTTTCATTTTTATCCAGTTTACACCTCTCCTTGGTGCACTTAATACCTGTGGGCATGGGTGGTCTCAGCCGCCTTCCTCGGCAGGGTGTGGCCCCCTGCTCTGCAGTCAGGGACAGCTTCCTGACCTGGGGGAGCTCAGGCAGCTGCACAGCCAGTGTGGCACCCCAGGCCACCCATCCACTTCCTCTGCACCTGCCTGGGCTTTTCCAGCTGCCACACCCAAGCCTTTGCAGGGCCACACGCTGCCCAAGAGCTGGTGCCCCTGGGAAGGCCTTCTCCAGGCCTCCCTTGGTGTGCCTTCCACAGGAAAGCCTTCCCACCGCTCTGCACCGCCTGCCCTCAGATCAGCCCGCAGGCACCAGCAGCAGCTCCACAAGTCTCAGGGGGCTCCTCCCTGGCTCTGGTCACCCTCCCCTTCCACTCCACTCTAGGCAAGAGGGCCCGGCCTCTCCTCCCTGGAACAAGCCCCTCCCTGTCCAGAGCCCAGTGCTGCAGGCTTCTCGGCTTCCCAGCTCCCTGGTGTCCTCGGGAGCTGTGGGCCAGCAGCTCCTCTGGGTTGTCCACTCGCCAGGGAGGGAGGGAAAGAGGGAGGTCTCCGTACAGCGGGCTGTGAGTCCATCAACCCTGTCAACCGGTGGCTCCAGGCGCTCTTCCAGCGTCCGTCTTCTTAGAAGCCCTCCTGGCCCACTGACCACAGCTGGCCCCCGTCCATCCTGTTCTTTAGGTGTCCCCTCTGTCGCTGTACCTGTGCCACTTTGTGCTGTATTTTTATTTCTTTGTTGCCTGTCTTTCCCATTAAGACTATAAATCCTGGAGGGCAGGAACTTTTATCTTCTAATTCCAGCATTCAGCACAATCTTTTTTTTTTTTTTTGTATAGTAAATGAGTTTTTAAAGTGTTCCCAAAGTCCATCAGTCAACGGTACTGCCGAGTGACAGAGTTCAGCTCACATCTTGGCAGCATAGTGAAGGCAGGACTTCTTAGTGTTCCATATCATGACTGACGGACTCTGAGCCAGTTAGTTAGGTACCCCCAACCTTGCAGAAGTAATGACACCAGTGATCAATAAGAGCTCGATTACTGCGTCAGAGCTGTGAGCCGGTCAGTTTGATTCAGGAGGAGTGGGTGACTTTATCCCTTCTGGCTTCTGTGGTAAACTCACCAAGATGACAGCCTTGGAAGACAGGGAGTGCAGAATACTCCCCTGACCCTTCATGCTAGACTCAGTGCTTGGTGACAGATACACAGAAAAACATGATTTCTGCATCATTCACTGGAAATTGGCTGCACCTTGAAAGACCATCAGTGTAAGAAGCTTAAATTTCCAACTGAAGCTTTCCACCACTTGAGGGGAATCTAGAATGCAGCCCAGATCCCCAGTGGGACAGGCCCCCCAGCTAAGCGGTGCCAGCGCATGAGCTGGCTGCAACTTCACTCAGCTTCAGCCGGCGGAGAGTGGGATGAGCACTCGTCTCCTTGATCGCTGGACAGAGAAGACAAGGAGCTTGAGTCTTCATGCAATTTTCAAAACTGAGAAGCATCTATCCCAACACAGAAGGAGGAACCCTGAGCACAAAGATGCTCCATGCTAGCCCTCTGAGAACCCGTGACCATGGAGCTGCTGAGACCTTGGGCGGGACGCCACAGTCCCTCAGCTCACCTGGGGTATTGAGAGAGAAAGCTGGCTTCCTGATGATCATGCACTCACAGCCAACCACGTGTGGGTGGGACTTTAAATATCACGGGGACCAAACCTACCCCAGGGCAGGAATGGCTGCTGAGGGCTGCAGGCTGCAACTAGGGCCGGCTTCTGCTCCCACAGGGAAGCAGGAGGGATGTGGACTGTGACCAGGGCCTCTCCTCTCTGGCACCCCAGGCCCCAGGGAAGGACCAGAGCCAGTGGACACGTCACAAGACACCCCCATCAGCCCCTCACGAGCTCACAAGGCCCAGCGCTCTGGCACAGGGACAGCTACACTTGCCTCCTACCCAGGGAAGGGCTTGGAGAGCAGGAAGGGCTGGGGTCAGCACCTGGTGTGGGGAGGAGTGGGCACTTGGGGACAGGGAAGACTGCAGCAAGTCTGCTGCTTGGTGTGAGCAGGCTGAGCCTCTCTGCCCCACTGTGGCCTGAGGAGCATCCAGCTGGGGTGCTGTGCAGCGGGCAGAACCACTGACCCACAGAGGCTCCCGGGACATGGCGCAGCTGGCAGCCCGACAGCCCGCCTAGGCCTCTGAAGCTTGCCCTCCTTGAAGCTTTCACTCCACCGCCCCCAACCCCAGCTCACAGGAGGGCGCCATGGGGACAAAGCTCAACTTAAACGTGTCTGCAATGGCTGCCCTTGTTGCTGATGCCCCATGTCACACCTGCATATTTCTGGCGTGCTGGGTTGCTAATGGCCACGGGACATGGCAGATATGGGGATCCCTGGCTTCCATTCAGGTGCACCTCAGGCCACTCTGTGTCCAGTGGGTAAATTCTATTCCACATCTGACTCTCCCCCCTCTCACCTCATGAGGAGAGGAACTGAACTGAAGGAGAAGCATGTGGTGGGTCCAGAGGCAAGCAGCTGAGGTTCTCTGCAGGACCTGAGACGCTCTGAGGACAAGGCCCTTTCAGGGTCTGTAGGGCATGTGGGCTCTGCCTCTGAGCACTGTTCCTCTCTCTTCTGCTTCTGCAGTAAGAGGACTGCACTCTGGATGAAGGTCCTGGGGGCACATCTCTGAGTTGGGGTGGGCCAGCTCACAGAGCAGTCTGCTTTCCTGACATTCAAGCTTCCTCTGAGGCTCTGGGCTGACAACCCCCTACTCTCGCCTGTTCCAGTGCATTCTACTAGACCATCTCTGGGGCCAATGCCTGTAGCCCAGTCCTCCAAGATCCTCTATGGGCTCTGCAGGTCTCTGCTCAGTGCACCCTCTGGAAGGAATGTGCCTTGGGTCCATGGGCCTGACCCAGTGTGCCAGCCAGAATCACTTGAGCAATTTCAATGGCTCGAGACAGAAAAATAATGAAAACTTGGCCAAGTTGCTTCCATGTGTTTTACAGAGCTGCCACACCTCCTGAGGAGACCAGTTTGGGAAAGTCCCAAGCTTTCCTCAGTGTTCAGTAACAGTTCCAGCCTCAGAAAGAGAACCTTGTCCCATCCGAGTGGAGGTGACTACCCACCAGCAAAAGAGAAGTGCTGAGTGCGCTGGACCCTAATGCTGACCATCAGAAGGCACTACGCTCTGGGCTCCGGGACCGCCTTTCCAGCACCCTCTCCTTCCTGTGTGCATGCAAGGGGAAGCCCGGGTGCCAGGAAACATCCTCTTTCCATGTGCAAGGTCCACTGGGATCCTATCATGTGCCTTTAAAACCTGCCTTTGGGTGGGCTTCACTCAGGGCAGTGCCCCCAGAGCAGCTCTTGCCCTGGTCTAAGATGAAATTTTCCCTGGGCCCTGCGGGCAAGCCTGGCCCTGGAGAGAAGGGGCAGGCAGCTGCACATCACACCTGGGACTGCCTGCCCTCTGTCCCTGGCACCCAGACCCCTATGCTCTCCTGGGATGTCCTCCTGGGCAGTTTTCCAGGACAAGGGGTCCCCTGAGATGTAGTAGCTACAGCATCAACTCTGGACACCAACCTCCCAACTCCCATGTTCAGTGCCCCCCACTCCCCTGATGGTGCTGCGTGCCCACTGCTGACCTGGGCCCTCTCCTTAAAGGGTGAAGCAGAGCTCTGACCTGCTCCAGGTCTGCCGCCTGTGTTCTCAGTGCTGAGTTTTTCTGGACCGACAATACCTTGTCCCAGAGGGCTTCTGAGGACCCATTCCCTGAGGCTGCTAGACATGCACCCCAGGTAGACAGCCTGTGGCAGGGCTGGGCACTGCGCTTGGGAGACACTGCAACCTTAACAGCCGGGACCTGCCCTCAGGGCCCTGCTCTTCACTACACTGTCCAGCAGCCTGGTACAGCAGGAGAGCTGAGGGGAGCCCGCGGTCAGTGGGCCACTCAGACACGGTCACTCTGGAGACAGCTGCAGAGGAGGCGAAAGACCAAGCCTGGACACAGCAGGGAGGCCACAAGCATCACCTGGGATGGCGAGTTCTCGTGCTGCAGCCTGGGGTGCACGTCTGAGGCGGTGGCCTGGGACAGGGCCTCCAGGAAGGGCAGGTAGCGCTGGAGGGCTTTGGCCAGGGCCACCTTACTCTCCAGGTCATATCGCCAGTTCTCTCCAACATCCTGTTGTGGGGACCTGAAAAACAAAGGAGACCATGGAGGAGTCATGGGTCTGCTCCATGCTGACAAGTTGCCACACATGGACAGGCGTGTGGGATGCATGTGGCAGGGCCTCTGCCTTCCAAGCAAGAGCGCTGTGCGAGTCCAAACCTGTGCGCCCACCTGCACCTCCCACTCCTTGAGTGCGAGTGCAGATTTCTCCAGGCACTGCTTGAGCCTCAGAGTTCTGGCAAAGAGAGTGGGTCAGCCCAGCAGTGCCCGTGTCCTAAGCCCGCGTGAGGAACTGTCGAGTGTCTCAAAGAGCGCCAGCGCACACCCTGTTCCCACAATGCCCCCTAAGGGCCAAGTGCAGGAGACAAAGCTGAAATATGGCCAACAAGTGGAGGACATCCACGTGTAAGAGGAAGAGTGAGAGGCGGGGAGCAGGAGGGGCAGGCTGGGGCCAGGCCAGGAGGGTCTGTGTTGTAGCTGGTGGCCCCTCACCAGCGCGCAGCACCACAGTCTCCACTGCCTGTCCCGGGAGAGGCTGGCCTCAGTGGGCGCAGGCACCATTGATACCACCAGCCTGGGAATGGGCAGCTCAGGTGTGCAGGATCTCGGGAGGCGCACACAGCAGCCCATGCCATGACCAGGAGGCAGGAGTCCACACGCACCACGTGGTACCTAGACCCAGGTCTCTGCCAATTCATGCTCTGCAGGAAGCGCACTGGGGTTTTAGGTGGTCATGGCTCATCATAAATTCCCCAATGAAAGTGACCTTGGGTGGCTCCAGCCAAGGTCTTCATAGGGAATGCCTGGTTCTCAAGAAGGATGACTCACATTAGGGCTGTGTGTAGTACATATTCTAAATGCCAACATCACTAACTAGCAGGGGGTACGAATCCAAGCTACAATGAGACATCATCTTGCCCCATTTAAGATGGTGATTACCAAACAATAAAGTGTTGGCTGGGACAAGAAGAAAAGGGAGCTCCCGCACCCTGTTGGTGGGAACGTAAACTGGACCTTTAGGAAGAACATACGGACGGAGGCTCCTCAAGAAACGGAAAACAGGTTCTGGTGTGTGTCCAAGACCACAGAACTGGCCCAGACGCTGCAGGTCCACCGCAGCCAAGGGCTAGACTGGACCTGGGTGCCCACCGGCAGAGGAGGGACAAAGGAAATGGAGCACAGGTACACCCGGGCGGATCATTCAGCTCTAAGTAGGGCTGGAGGACAGCGAGTCGAGGGAAGTAAGCCAGACAGACAGGTGTGGGAGCCTGTCCTCTCCCAGGTGGATGCTGGAAGAAGCCAGCCTGGGTGTCCAGCAGTGAGGACGAGAGGCTGGGAAGGGAGGAGAGGGAACGCAGGGCGGCAGGTCACAGGTACCAGGAGTGAGTTCTGGGGCGCCCAGCACAGGAGGGGTGACTTCAGTTCACCAGAACCTACTGTGCACTTCATGAGGAAGAGAGGAGAGGAGCCTGAAGGCTCCGTAGCAAGAGGTGACGGGGACCGGGGACAGAAAGGCTCACGGCCCTGATGTGACCAGTCCATGCTGGAGCCCCGTGTTGAAAAGGAGCACCCAAATGCACGAACATGCAGTTATCACATGCCAATAAAAAAAAAAAAAAAAACTTAAGGCTGACATTTACCAAAAATCTTCCTATTTGATCTTAAGAATCTCAGTGGATGAACCTGCCTTGATTTCATTTCCAGTGCTTCTTCTAGGCGTATGGCTTAGCCTTAAAAAGAAATGTGATTTATCAAGTAACTCACAGCTCGCTGCCTTCAAACCATGGCTATAGCTCCCAAGACCATTTTTTAATGGATGAAACTTCAGGTTACATGCTATCAGGGAGTAATCTAACTCAAAGTCGATTTACTTGGATATTTTGTCTATTCCTCTCACTAACTGCTAATCAATACACAGAGCTAGCTCATAAATGAGTCTTTCGATGGTCTGTCCATCCTCCCATGCCTTGTCCACCACGGAGGCTTGTTTGTGACCCTGCACTGTGGGTGACGATGGCCTTCATTACCACGCTGCACGACGCTGTAGCAATTAACTTGCAGGCTGACCCCTGCCCTGTCATCCAGCGTGAAGCAGGTCAAACCACTGTAAGAACACATTTTCCACTTCAAAAGGGTGGAGAGTATTTCACACTAAGGACTCCACTATTCTTGTGCACCCGGAAGAACTGGCCTTGGACCCCAGCATATGTGATGCTTAAAGCTGTCACCCAGATGTCAGAGGGAAAAATCCAAATCAGGATCAGAACCACAGCAAAGAGCTTCACAGCCGGCACCTCCCTGCTGCACTCAAGTCCGTTTGGGGCCATTTCTCTCCTCACACGAAACCTTCGCAGCCACCACAAGTTCTCTGGAGGTGTCCGGCTCACAGGCCCCTCACGGCAGCGTCCACGGTCCCATGTCTCCTCATCCACGCGGCTTGCTCTGATGAGGCACTGTGTGCAGGGAGCAGGCTCTGGCTCAGGTCGGCCCAGGACCAGACTTCCCGGAAGACCCAGTCCTCATCTCCTCTTTACTCCTGAACAAACTGTTGGTGTGGCACATTACTTATTCCTCTGAGGAACAACAGCCAAACGTGCCGAGCGCTAGCTGCTGCTCCCCAGGTGACAGAGGAGCCCGCAGAATGCCCCAAAATGACGAAGCAAAGACACCGGCGGAGTCACGGGTGGTGCAGTCACCACACAACAGCACCGGGAGACCCTGGCCCCCTCCTCCCTTCCCTCAACAAGTGAGGACACTGTGTGTGCCTGGCCAGGGTGAGAGCCAGGAGCAGGCGCCAGGTCAGACCCTACACCCAGGAGGAGCAGTGAGGAAGGAAAGAAGCCGAAGGAGGAGGGTTCCCACCCAGCACCCCCTCACGGCGAGGTGAGGCCAGGAGAAGACGGCCACAGGGGATCCAAAATGAGAGACAGCTACAGATACTAAAGAAGATTCAAGGCACCCAGGCCTGGTCCCCAGGGGACGTGGAGGAGGAAAACCAGGGCCTGCTGCGGTAGATTCCCCACTGGGCTGCCCAAAGGGCTTTTAAGAGTCCACCCTTCAAACTGAGTCCAAGGGAAGATGACCACAAATTAATCAGGCAGCACCAATGAGGCGAAGGCAGGAATGGCAATTCTGATAGGTGAATGGCAGCCAAGGCAGGAAGCATCTGAGCTCCATCTTCAAATGGCAGAACAATAAGGAGAGACGTTGGGAAGCTCATCAGCAGAGCCGCAGAGCCAGATATAGCTGCAGGGTGGCAGGGGCTGAGGACATGGGTAGAGAATGTCCACCACCTCTGCCCAAGGAGGGCCTCTGTCCTACAGCCAGTGAACAGTTCTTCTCCAGTCCTACCAGGAAGGGAAGAATGGAGACAGCCAGCCCAGGAGAGCAGCGGGCCCTCTGCCTTCCCCCACAGGTGCACCTAGTGGCACCCCGACACAGATGGAAACCACCTCTACAAGACAAGCCTGCATGGAAGACCCCATCCATCCTCAAGGAAACAACTGCAGGACCAGACGCGGTTTCACAGGGACTAGGACCACGCACAGGACATCCACAAGAACACTCCAGTCTCTACGTATGACGCTTCAACTCTTCATCTCACTGATAATGAAAATAAAAGACAAGACAAACTACATCCTGCATAACACGGCCTTGGAAGGTGACCAGTGCCATGCAGTCGGGACCGTGAGGTCCAGGAGCCTGTCTGGTGTCCTTTAAAGTCTCCCAGGTGCTGGGTGGCCATGTGTCTCCCACTTAGGCAGTTGCTCCTCAGCCACTTACCACCTCCTGGACTCCTGGAGCCAAGTTTTCTCGGTGCCCGGGTCCCTGGCCCCTCCCAGGTCCCACCCACCCCTGAGCCTGGTGGAGGCGTCATCTGGGAGTCACCAGGAATGCCATGAAGAGCAGCAGGAGGCCAGAAAATGGGACTGAAGGCAGCTCCAGGGAACACGTGAGGGGCTCCACAGAAACGTCCTGTGCCCACCAAGGACCGTAGTGGCACTTCTCTTTCATAAAGGCACTATAGGCAGAGAGGTGCGCAGGAGCGAAGGCAGGTCCCGCCCTCTGGTGTGGCTGTGTGCTGCAGTCGCCATCTGCTGCTCTCCTGCTCCCCAGACCCTACAAGGACACTGCCTCACCCATTCAATGAGCACGGAGGTGGAGATCTAGATCTCTGTGCCATGGGGATTTTCTAACTAAAGACTGTGGTCCTAGATGTTTTCTCTCAGGAAAAAAAAATGGACTGTCCAAACAGAAACCCTAGGAAAGTCCCTGTGTGTGCTTTTAACATGAAAAACAGCGGTGCAGACGCCGGCAGCCCTGCTCGCCTGCTGTGTCTGTCTGGGCTGCTTTTCTCCACCTGCAGGATGGGGCTGCTGTACTCACTACCTCCTGTGGCAGCATGTGTGAGACAGAGGGAGTGAGCACATGTCTGAACCGGCGGCCTGCTTCAAGCTACTGTACGGTGAGGTCTTTCTGCCTGTCCTGCAGTGGGGAGACTTCCTCCTGAGAAGAGGGGATTCTTGACCTCCGCATGCACAGAGGCCTAAAGATGCAGGATTTCCCAAAGGAGCCATGGAAGAAAATCTTGGCCCGCCTCTTGGTGACAAGCAATGTGGCCTCCTCTCATGGGTCAGGATACAGCAGAGCAAGAAGTCTCTTCCTCACAGACAGCTGACCTTCTGAAGCTTCCCACCAGGAAGACTGGGGTGCTTGCTACGACACAACCCAGCTTAATAATGTGACTGCGGTTGGGGGGCAACCCTAGACCCTAGAGTAACCCGAGACTGTGCATACCTGGCTCGGCTGGAAGGATCCAGAGGCTGTGGGTAGGCTCTGGGGAGGTTTGCGAGCTCCTGTGCCATCACACGCTGGGTAGAGTCATCTTGCCACGTGAAGCCTGTGGGGACAGGGGTGAAAACTGAGTTACTGATTCAGAAGTTTGGCCATGCTTCTGCCTGTGCCACATCCCGGATGGCTCCCTCACACTGCTGACACCACATACAAGCCGGGGATCCCCCGCTGCTCCTTACTAGTCAGGTCTTCTTCACGGAGTCCAACTCTCTCAAATCTCTAGACCAAAAAGACAACTGACACTTTTCCCATTGTTTCCAACAAGCACAATGGTGCTGGCTATGGCTGAAGCAAGACCCTTAAGCCAAATGTGATGTCGGTCCCAAGGGGGACCCTGTCTCCCTCGAAGGCCTTGGTCCCAACAAGAGATGCTTCCCCTCCACAAAGGGCATGTTCTTGTCCATGCTTGCCGCCATCTTGGCCATTTTTGTCCTCCCTTACCCCATGCTGCTTGGGAGCAAGTGCTCAGGTGGAACAAGGGGTGTTGCTCCAGGAGAGCGACTGCCACGGGGCTTGACGCACTGCCTCTGGGAACCAGTGACACTGTATTCACACTCGAATGTTATGACAAAGAGACTTACAACAAGGGCAAAGCAGTTGTGAAGGCAAAATCCATGTGATTATGCATTAATTACATGCGCTGTGGATCACATGATAATTAGGCTCAGAATTACCAAATAACTCCTAAGAATAATTATTATGCAATTTGTACATTTTAGATCTTATGGTAACACTTTCGCACTTAGAACTACCCCATGCAATTATCCATAATTATCTAATCACTAAATATCATGTAATTACAGAGGTATAGTTTTATGCCCTGTACAAAACACATTACTAAAATCTTCAAATCAGAATGGCTCTGTGCGTGTGTGTGCTGCAAGTCCAGAACACACACTCTGGATGGAATCGAAAGACAGCTCAGTAGACGTGATTGGCCTTCAAGAACACACTTAGATATTTTTTTCAAATGCAAATCTAAATTGTTCCAAGTTTACACATGGCAATCCAAACAGAGGCCACAGTCCTAGGTCCCAGAAGGCCCAGCGGCATCACTACCAAGGCAGGTGGCCTTCTGCTTGTGCTAAGTAGCTGTCTTTGGCGTGTGACACACAGAGACTGGGTCACTGTAGGGACAGTGACCCACAACCACTGCTGCACACACTCTGGTGTGGCTGCACTTGACTGAAAGCAAACCCACCCTCTAGTGAAAGCAACTGAAGAGAGCCCCTGCAGAGGGCACCGTCCAGGGCTCTGCTTCACCCACCCCAGGGGCATCTCCAATGAAGAGATTTTGCAAGTTGAAACAACATCTAGCCCTTTGGATTTAGAAAATAAGCACATTTTAAGTATGGCATTCCCCAGGGATAGCCATAATATTCATCTTTATCAGGAAACAAAATCAAGGGCACAAAAGGGAAATTCCAGGAAAACAACTTCATTTATAAAATTAGGCAACTGAAATTCAAGTATCTCAACAGCATGGAAGCCTGAGCTATGTTGAGGTGGGACCTACAATAAAGGCTCCATTGTTAGGGCAACTGCTGGTCAGCCAGAAAAGGCCGTATGTGGGAGTGCAAGGAGGGCCCAGGACCCTAACCAGACCACTGAGCCTCTCTGGGAGGAGGAGGAACCGTGCTCTTGGGTGAAAAATGAGGTAAGGCAAAGACCTGGGTGCTTCAGCATCCCCGTGAAGTGCTCTCTGGGCCTAAGTGTGAGAGGCATCCCACCCCCCTGGGTGACGTCAAGGGAGGCAGAGTAAGGAGACCCCAGGGGTGGAAACTCCCGCCCTGCCCTCAGGTGTCCACAGAGGTGAGTGGGCCTGGGCTTCTACCTCCCAGCACCCATGCTCTCCCTGGCCGGGCAGTGTAGAAAAAGCTTTTGCATGAGCTTCAAAGTCTCATAATATACAAAAGTAACCAGTTTCAATTGAAAATCATTGCTTACAAGAAGAACCAAGAATGCCTCAAACTGAAAGAACACAGAGAATCAAGAGATACCAGCCCTGGGATGAGAGGTGTGAGACCCCATGGCGCCATGATGACACTGCCTCCTAAGCCACCGTGCGCACACCTGAGACAGACCAAGAGCAGCATCCCCGCCAACACGGGTGGTATGAGGAAGACCCCGATGGGAGTCTCATGACTGAGGAGTACAGTAAGAAACACATGTTCTACAGAAAGAGGGGAGAGTCAGACATGGAGACAGAACCACACAAATCCTCCGTTTCAGCCACGGAGCGCGAGCGGTCTGGAAAATGAGCAGAGGCTCAGAACTCTGAGGCCGTGACCACAGATCTGCCGTTCATGCCACAAATGCCTCAGAAGTAGAGGAGAAAGAAGGCAGGGCCAAAAGAAACTCGGAAAAATAATGGCTGAAAACCTCTCAGTTTTGACAAAAGACAAAAACTTAAAACTTCAGGAAGCTGAATACACCCCAAACAGGATGATCCTGATTCTTCTCCAAGATTCATTATGATTTAATTTCTGATGACCTCAAAGAAAAAGTCTTCACAAAGACACAGAAAAATGATGCCTTCTTTACATGCAAAACATGATTCATACGACAGAGGATTTCTCATCAGAAACCCTGGAAGTCACCGGAAATAGCAGATTTTCAAGTGCTAAAGAACAAGAAGAGTCGGCCCAAGATCCGTCGATTTACCCATCCATGCAGCCCATGAGAATATCCTACAGGAATGAGAAGGAAACCGTCAAGCTCTCCGATCCACAGAGCCAGGGAAAACCCTTCAGGAACGAGGAGACATTGAGATGATCTAAATAAAGGAAAGAGAAGAGCTAAATGAACTACTCTAAACAGAAAGGAGAGGATGAAAGCAGCACCCTACGAATCAGGAAAGAACAGGGCAGGCAACAACACCGGTAAATACAGGTGCCTCCTCCTCTTGAGCTCCAGTGTGAGCATGGTTTCTTCTGAGTCCATGCAGGAGGAGTATTAACAATCATATACACATGAAGACCAGTAAACTGTGTTCATTTAACTGGTAAAACAGACACCAGCAAGCTATGATATGTAATTATATATCTACACGAAGAAAGGCATCAAGATATCAAAAACATCAGTTCAAAAGCATAGCCGAAAAATTAAAATGGATTCCCCAATGCTAAAATAACTTAAAGGGAGGGAAATAAAAACAGAGAAGTAAAAAGTAGGAAACAAAAAAATCAAACATTTAAGTTCTAGAATATCAAGGACTAGACTGAATGTCAATACATCAATGAAAACAGGCATTGGCTGAGAGGATTTTTAAAACTACTCAACTATGTTACCTGTTAAACTAACTTCAAATATAACAAATAGGAAGAATGAAAGTAAAAATATGGGAAAAATACAGGCATTAAAGAGCAGCAGCAATGTGTACTTTAATATCAGATAAATGAATCATCAGAGAAAATAAAATTAAGAGAGAGAGGAAAATTACATGGTGATAGAAGGGTTAATCCACCAAGACGCAGCAGTCCTAAACAGGCATGCACCAAATGTCAGAGCAGCAACATATGTGGAGCAGAAGTTGATCGAACTAAAGAAGAAATAGAAAATTCCAGGCTGGGGATGTGGCTCAAGCGGTAGCGCGCTTGCCTGGCATGCATGCGGCCCGGGTTCAATCCTCAGCACCACATAAAAAAAAAAAAAAAAAAAAGATGTTGTGTCCTCTGAAAACTAAAAAATAAATATTAAAATTCTCTCTCTCTCTCTCTCTCTCTCTCTCTCTCTTAAAAAAATCTTCAAATTTATAAAAAAAAGAAAAAGAAAAAGAAAATTCACAATTAGAGCTGTTAGTTTCACATCACTTTCTCAGCAAATGATAAAAAAAACTATTTAAATAGAAAACCAGCAGATGCAGACAAGAACTCATGAGTGCCACTGGGCAACAAGGCCCGGTGGGCACTGGTGGGGCACGACCCAGCCACAGCGGAACGCATCCCATCAGCCACCCATGCAGCATGGGCCAGGACCACATCCCAGTTAGCACACAGGCCTCAGCAGCTGGGAAGGAACAGGACCATTCACAGAGTGTTCCTAACACTGCAGAGGCCTGCTGGTAATCAGCCTCAGGAAAATAATGGGGAACTCTCCAGACGCCCAGAAAGCGAACAACATATTTCTAAGTTATCCCTGGACCAAAGGGAATCCAAGGTGGTAAAGCACACTGTACTGGATGAAGCCAAAGTGCAGCAAGATCCCAACATTACGGCTCACAGTTAAAGCAGAGCTGTGAGGGGCATGTTTAGCACTGAAGGCTTATGTTAGGCAAAGAGAGGACTCAAATCAGCAATCTAAATTCCAATCAAGAATCTACATAAAGAACAGTAAAATAAACCCAAAGAATGTAGAAGGAAGAGAATGATAGGTCAATGAAATTTTTTTAAAAAAATATTCATTTTTTGGTTGTAGTTGGACAAGATATCTTTATTTTGTTTATTTATTTTTATGTGGTGCTGAGGATCGAACCCAGGGCCTCGCACATGCTAGGTGAGTGCTCTACCGCTGAGCCACAACCCCAGCCCCAGTCAATGAAATTTAAATTAGAAAAAGACAGAGAAAAATGTGACAACAAAAACTAGTTCTGTGAAAAGATCAGTAAAACCGACAAACTTCTAGCAAGAAAAATGAAAAAAGATATAACAAATTGCCAATATAAGTAATAAAACAGGGAATATCACTGTAGACATCGAAAGGATAATAAGAGAATCAACAACTTTACACACATAAACTTTTGACAACATTGGTGAAATGGTGGAGGCCTGGAAAAATATAAACTACCATAATTGATCCAACTCAAGACAGAGAGTTTTAATAACCCTGTAACTATTAAGGAACTGGACTTCAGAATTTAAAACCTCCCCACAAAATAAACATGCAGGCCCAAATGGAGAATTTAGAAGAATCCTACCAAACGTCTAAAGAAGCATTAACATAAATTCCACATAATCTCTTCCAGAAAACAGAAGAGGAGGAAACAGTTTCCACTCCGTTTCATGTAGCCACTACTAATCTGATATCAAAGGCAGACCATGACAGTAC